GGGTGGGTGGGTGGGTGGGTGGACGGATGGATGGAAGGATGGGTGGGTGGACGGACGGACTGATGGATGGATGGATGGAAGGACTGATGGATGGATGGATGGATGGACGGATGGATGAATGAGATGGTTAAATAGCAATACCTTCCAACATCCACTTAAACGCTCTTTTTCATTGAGCTCCAAAAACCTCCCGTAAGGTTCCAATGAACAATCAAAGCTTCTCAATAAGGCAATGCGAATCCTTAAGGGTTGGCAGAATTTTCCCAGGTGCTGTCCCGATTCAAGCCAATTCACGGCGTCTCTTTTACTGGGGAATGCTCCGAGCTTGATGACACCTGAGTAGGAGAAGAGCCATATTTGAGTAAGAAATTGAAACAGCTGAAACAAGTTAAAAGACGGGAAAGGCAGCTCTAGGAACAGACTGACACAATTATAAACAAGAAGAAGAGAGATAAACCAATCGACAAATGGACATGCATATATCAAAATATGTGTGTGTGAGTGTGCTTGTGTGCGTGTGTTTTTGTTTGTGTGTGTGTCACAATATGTTGGAATCAGGCTCTCATCAATGTTTCGGCGAATGGAGTTATTGAATTTTAATACTTGTTTAAGTTTGACTTGCTTTTGTCAAAAAAAAATACCCTTTATTTTGAATAGAAGTCAAAACATTTGAGATTGAAGGAAGTAAAAGTTGTCTGGTAAAGATATGAAACTAACAATAAAATAGCCACCAAAGCCTGGTGATTTCCATCGAAGGAGTGTCCTTGGAAATTGAAAATTTACCATTTTTTGTGTCATTGATCAACGTTTTTCAGTAAAGTCCACACAGAAATGTGTTTCTAAATGGATATAAAAAGTGTTGAGCTCGTCAAAATAATGAAATCATAGAAACTGGCATCTTTCTGTCCATTTGGCAATATTTACCGAATTTTTGCTTACACATTTCTGTGAGGAATTTATTGAAAATAATATGTTGATTTAAGCTTTGAAAGTCGCCAAACTTTGGCACCCATTTTCTCACTAATTTTACTTCTGAAACTAGGCGACACCCACCTCCTTTAATCGCAATTTATATCTCGACGTCTTTCCATGATATATGATTATTTTTTTTCACAAAAAGCAAGACAAGTGAACAACCTTTAAAATGATACCAATAACTCCACAAGTCCAAAAATTGACGAGCGCATTATTCCACCGTGTCGTGACACATACGTCGTGCATATAAATAGCAAACAGATGTATGGGTGGGAAATAGGAAGTGGCTGTCTGTACAGGGGATTATCTCCCCACACGTGGCCGCTAAAGCAGGTCCAATTGTATATATATGTGAGGCAGCATGGTGGAATCAGGCTCTCGTCAAAATAATCAAATTGCAGAAACTTGCATTTTTCCGCAGGTTTGTGAATTTTTATCAAATTTTTGTTTTTTGGCTCAACACCTTTCATACCCATTAAAGAACTCATTTCTGTGTGGATTTTTCTGAAAAACGTTGATTAAAAGCACAAAAAATGTAAATGTTCAGTTACCACGGACTCTTAAGTTAAGGAAATAACTAATCTTTGGCGGCTATTTTCTCACTAATTTTACCTGTAAAAACAGGTGACCCCCACTTCCTTCATTCACAAATATCTCTACTTGTATTCAAGATAAATAGATATTTTTTTCAACCAAATAAAGACAAGTGAACAAGCTTAAGATGATACCAATAACTCTAAATGCCAAAAATTTCACGAAAGCCTGATTCCACCAAGCTACCTCACATATATGTAATGTAAAATAAAAGATTCAAGAACAAAAAAACAGTATTTACAAAAACGTGAAACTGAAGCAGAATTTCAAAAAAATGTAGCAGCAGCATAAACATTTAAATTGTTCAAATAGAAGCATGAAAAAGAAAAAAAATTATGATTGTAACGGGGTTTTTTTTCAAACTCTAATTAGTAGCACACATTTTTAAAAGTAAAGGCTTTAAAAAATAGTACAGACCTGTCCCGCAACAAGACAGCTGGAATGTTTGTCCCGGAGTCAAAGGTTCTTGCATTAAGCACTGACCATGTGCCTTAGAGTATGTGCTTGTGGACACGAACCCTCTCTGCACAGAGACATTTTCTCCATGAAACTTGCACGAGAAATGAGCCTTGCGGAAGAGTTCGCTCATGCCAAGGGAAGGAATATCCATAGAGTGATTTTCTTGTGCATCAGGAGATGCCATTTTGTCAGTTGTAACCCTTGATCCTGAAAAGTGGGGGTACAAAAATGTCATCTATTACGATCAAGTAAAAAATAAAAGAAAGTACTGAAAATTCGTTCGACAATTCTGTCTTTGTGTTCGGGCTTCACGAAAATTTCTTACAAAGATAGAGAAGGAAAAAAAACGGGCCCGTCTGTGTTCAACCTATTTGGGTTATACTGTACTTTGTCATATATATATATATATACATATATATATATATATATATACAAATGATAAATGCTGCCATGGATCATGTAGATTGTGTAAATAATACCAGAAAGGCTTATTAGACCTCAAGAGCAAAAGATTGGTTTAATCAGTAAAGACAATAAGGAGATCAAAGCATCATTTTAATAGAGAGCGATCAGCGTCAGTGGGGAACCGGCAACCAAACAGGGAAACTTCTGTTGCAGGCTTGCATAATATATATGGTCGCAGTGGACGTGGATCTTTTTGAGTGCGTTCTACACCATGCAAAACCTCATACATTAGCCTGGCCTGGAAGCGATTTTATTTTGTGTGGAAGCGTAGACTAAAGGATTAGCGGGCTAACCCAGATTTCAGGGGTTTCCAGAAATCTTGACCTACACCAAAAGTGGGCATTGCCCTAACTTGGTTTCATTGGTGTATTTGGTTATAGAGAAAACTCTCCTGGACTTTCAAAGAAACTGAACAAGGGGCAAAAACTTTACCTTCCATTTTCTCAAAACAGCGTTTTTCAGGATAGCCCCCTTGTGCTTAAAGTGACCATATACTCGAGACACTGAGGAAGAAATATTGGCTTAAAACCCTAGGCAAAGAGACCCAAAACACTATGGGGGCCGGGATTGTGGACCAGTGATGAACAGAAGCCCTTCACACTAGAGACTGCGTTGTCCATTTGTGTGGTGGAGTCAGGGACTCGTCAATTTTTGGCCATATATATGGAGTTGCTGGTCTGGTATCATCTGAAGGTTTTAATCATTTGTCCTGCTTTCAAGATTCTTTTTAGGTCAGGGGGGCAAATTAAGTCAAATATTACTATTTTCAAACACCAATAACTCAATAGCTATTGATTTGCAGCAAAAATGAAGGCCATATCGCTGGTGGAGTGATGAAACCTCGTAACCCTCAATTTTTTCGAAAATCGTTTTTTTGCCTTAATGTCTTCTCCCAGTCCTTCTTCACATTGTGTCAAAAGCACTAGGTTAAATTATAAAGAGAAAGTATGAAAAAAACTTACTTTAAAAAACACGTATGTTTGCCCCTATGATATCCTGGCGTGATGAAACCTCGCAACCCTCACCTGGTGCGCCGATTTGCTTTTGCGTGGTTTCATCACTCCCGGTTTGAGAGAGCGGCTTGCTTTTACGAGGTTCTGGTTAAGCCTTCATTAAGAATTGACTTAATGGAAGCGCTTATAATTGACATTTTTTGGTGCATTTTATATGCCTGACTTAATAAAGAAATGTTTCATTCATTCATTCATTCATTCATTCATTCATTCATTCATTCATTCATTCATTCATTCATTCTTTCTTTTATTCATCCATTTTATTTCAGCCAGTTCAGAAATTCATATATGACCCTAAGTGAAAGAGTTACATTATGTAAATCTATTTGAAATCCTGTTATAGGGATGACTAACGCATTGGTAAACAAGATGTTCTCATAAAGCACAAACGTAGTTTACACTTAATTTAAGGCAACAGTCACACGTTGAAAAGACAGGTGACAATAGTCCTTACTAAGAATAAGTGATAGGTCTATGCACTCTCCAGATGTCAACTGGCCATTTTGTTTATCAAAGAGAGGGTAAGGTTTCACCCGTTCTCAGACTATGAATCCGCTGATTAGTCGGATCCTTCAGTTGTGGTTGAGACCAAATTATAGTACAGAACTTACCCATGTTTTTCTTGACCCTGAAGTCTATAGAGGACATTGTGACAAATTTGTGCTTCAATAATACAAGTGATATGGACATAATTTACGCATCTGTTTTGAATATCTAACCCCAACTGGGCTCGCATCACTTAGATTTTTATACCATCCAAGGGCTGGTTTGGAAACCACTGAGCAGACTCCGTTACCTGAATTGACTCCAGCTACCATTTTGCAGTCCTTTCCAGGGATGTGCCTTATATGTGGAGGCAAGGAAGTATCAGCATCATCACAGACTGAGTATGCACCAACACCAGTGTCGCCTGGAATCACGCCCCAAACCACACTGACGTTTCCCCAGGCAGCTGAAAGTCAGCTGTTGAATTATTACCCGCAGAATCACAGCAGCACGATCTGCAAACCACATTCCTAGGTCCATCTCACCTTCAGGCACCTTAGCCTCTTTTCCTGGAGCCTGATCCAGAAACACAGCTCATTTGGGATGCCACAGGGGAGAAGAAAAGGTTTTCAGGGGTGGCAACAAATAAGCGAAGGCCATCCGTGGATCTGGTCAGGAATACCATAATGATTCAATGAAAAGCCCAGCTAAGTCACTGAAACCAAACTGTGATTGCAAGAACTGAACTCTGAAATGTAAAGGGCAAAGGGCCCTCGAGGAAGACAGACACATTAATTTTGATTTAGTGTGATCCTCTCATGGGATGAAAAAAATGTCTCTTTATTGGACTAGTGGACATAAACCAACCTCAGGGGAGGTATTCAGAAACTAACCAGACTGGGCATACACCTTCAAATACACATTTAAAAAGGTGGCCATAGGGTGCCCGTGTGTAAAAAGATGTTCCTGCTTTCAACTGGGTTGAGTGAATGATTTGCAAGAAACATTTAGAACCAATTATCAAAGGAACTCAGATATCTACAAAATGTATGCACAATTTTGCCAAGACCACGGGAGACAGCCTCTCAACAGACCCCCCCCCCCTAATCACTAAAACAATCAGGCAGAATAGCCTGCCTTGTTCATGTCAAAGAAAGATATGTGCGACCTTTCCATTATCCGTGAAGTTGGCAACGTGCGGAGGATTTTGGAATGCTCACATTCTAGAAAAGGGGCAGCGTGCAAGGGAAAGGAACGAGACAAATAAGAAGCCATCAAATATCTCGCCAGTGATGAACCTAAAACGGCGCATGTTTTCTATGGATCTTCAGCTTGTGCTCCTTACACTAACACCTAAACTGACTCCATCAGCCCTATATTACAAAACAAAGCGTGCCGTTCATAACTTTACGATACTTGAAACTGCAACCCATCAGACTACTTGTAACGTGTGGCATGTAGCAGAAGGGGGAATTAGCAAATACGTTTGCTTCATGTCTATTGGCTTTCTTGAAGGAAAAGCTGTACTTCCAGAAAACCATCATCAACAGGGACTGCTGTGGTTACCAATACAGAAATGCCACCCTAGCCAATGTTTCTCTCAGCCTGTTTACAACAACACATTGTAGCACAATCGAACAGAAATGGTTGATCAAATGACACACAAATGTAAGTTGACTGTGCACTCAACTATTGAAAGATCAGTTCGAAAAGCTCGAATCGAGGTTCCCCTACATTACCTCCATTTCTTCAGGATGGCCAGAGAAAAACTCGACATTATTCTAAGTGAGGAAGCTACAAGTCTATCAGACCAGGAAGAAAAACGGGTCATCCTGTTGTCTCCGACATCAGGTGTTTGAAGTACACCCAAGACATGAACATCCAATTCAAGCTGCACTTCAGTGATAAATGGGCTGACGTTCCGAAGGCAGGACACAGAAACATGAGGAGGTCTATCCTGCTACACCACTGAACACAGAACGTCTTAAAATCCAGCACTCCCAAGTACAATCACCTGTAGGAGCTTGAATCTGATATTTCCAATATAGGTCATCACTTTATGACAATTTACCCCGTTATCATTAATGGCTATTCGTTATGGGGTTTTTTTCAGTTCAAGACATCGTACTGATCTTTTAAGGTTTTTTTTGTCTGCACGTACGTTATGTATTTTCATAATTAACCCAATTAGTATTCATGACTCGCCACCTTTTATTTGATTGACATCCTCCATTCGTTTTTCAAAGCATTTTGTGGTGAGTGTTTGTGTGTGTGTGTGTGTGTGTGTGTGTGTGTGTGTGTGTGTGTGTGTGTGTATATATATATATATATGCGTGTGTGTGTGTGTGTGTGTGTGTGTGTGTGTATTACATTGTTTTCTTAATAAATTTTGTAATGGACTGACGCATTAAAACATTGAAAAAAACATGTCTATATTTTTATCTAGATCTATTTCTTACGATTGTGAAAGCCATCTGCAGTGCAACCAGAGACCATATTGCAGAGATATACTTTTCATTTGGGCTTTTTTGTAAAATGGAAGTAACCAGATCTAATCGTGGTAAATTATATTGAAACAAATTGCACAAATCGCTAATCCGTTTGAGGATTCAAACCCAAATTCTGCAGATAACACACATTTATTTGACTTCAGTTGGTCGGGAATCTAACTCTAAACTAATTGGTATTGAAAAAACATCGTTATCACTTTGTGGCGTTCCAAACAACAGATGCATACTGCAACCAAATGAGCTGCGAGAAAACTCGCAATCCTCAAACTCTGTCCTGATGAAACCTCGCAACCCTCCCGCCGGCTGACTACGTGGTTTCATCACGACAAAAATGTTGTGATGAAACCTCACATCCCACGGCATAACCATTTAAACATCAGAAAAGTGATTTTTTGGGTACTAACCACGTTTATAAGGTGTTTTCATTTATCTGTACCAACTTTGGTTCATATTGATCATTTTATTCACGAGTAAATCAGTTTTTTGTCTCTCCTGTAAAATTTTCCTTCCTGGGGTTGCGAGGTTTCATCACTCCACCAGCGATATATTCGAGTTCAGCATGCCTAATAATATACTACTAGAAAAGAAGTATAGATCTGGCTCTAGATCTGTATAAAATGTGATCATGAGACGGGTGCATGAGTAAAAGAAAAACGAAGTGACTATTTCTCAGAACGTTCGGGAAAATAAAGTTGAACTCTATTTCTCCAAACGGTTTCCGATCTCGAGATTTTTTGGGTTACTTGCGAGATTTAGGCGTCATCCTCTTATTCTGCCATTCTGTGAGGACTGGGTTAAGCATTTTTTGCATCAAATTCAATTTCTAGAGCCAGAGATTTTTAAATGTCTGAATATTCAGGTACTTCATTTGTGGTTGGGGCAACGTTCCCGGACTATACTTCCTTCATTTGAAAATACCTTCAAAAGGTACTGCGAGAAAACAAGACTGCTCGACCTTGGCACTAACCTATTTTGCATATAGTCACCCAGAAAAACTAAAATCCTTCATGCAAAAAAAAATGATTTTTTATGACTTGATGGACAATACAATCAGTACAATAATGTCTTGCAGATTCAAACTGTCCTTGTTGATCTCTGCTTTGAGGTATATGTTTTCCGATCCGATTTACTGAATCCTTTATTAAATACAAGGCCGTCGTTATTCGGACTCGAGTCCAAATAAAAATTTTTCATATTCGGACTCGAGTCCGAATAAAAAAATTTCTTATTCGGACTCGAGTCCGAATATGAAAAAATGTTATTCGGACTCGGGTCCGGAAAAAAGGAAGTGTCTTCATTCTACAGATCCAACGTTCAGTGCTTCCAATTTTCCGCCATTTTTTAGTTTCCCCCACACCTTATCTGCCGATCCAATGCCCGCCGCCTCATTGATACGCCTCCCCCCCCCCCCCCCCCACGATTCGCACTTTTTTTGTTGTAGAAAAAGGTAAAATTGAAGATTAGCAGACCACCTGGCATATTATGAGCTGTGTAAAAAAAAAAAGACCGATTCGTTCAAATACACAAGCCTGTGTCATATCGATTGTTTACCAAGGAAAAGTTGTGTTGCTGTGTAGAGCTCAGCATACGGCAACTTTTGATTCCATAGACCAGCGCACAATTCATTACGTATTCATTACGTAGATCTACGTCAAGACTAGCTTATTATTGTAATAATGATCAGTTGCCAGGGGGGAAAAGACCGACGCTTATGCGACGTTCAAAGCCCGGACCGATAGTGCCCCCCACCACCCTCCCCGACACGCACACAGCCACACGTGTGCAGGCCGCCCATCCGACCCTGACACATGCTAACGAGCCATCTTTAATTGCTTCTGATGACCTCTTGATAAATAAACATTTATTAGAAGCGCTATAACTTTTCAGGCCGGCCTCAAATTCATCATAAGATTAAAACTCAGCTCCAGCACAAAACGCCTTTTTGCCCGAAGTGATCCCGGTCTCTACCCAGCCTGAGGCGAGTCACGAGTGAGGCAGGACAGGAAGCCGGATTCACGAGTCACAAGAAGTCGGAAGTGATGTCATGCTGGACAAGAATCAGAGTCCGAATAACATTTTTTCATATTCGGACTCGAGTCCGAATAATCACTTCGTAAATACAAAGCGTCGCATTACCTCTCCCGAAAGTGTTTGTGATACAGTCTTGTCAGATTGTTACATTTCTTACGTGAAAGTTTGACTTTGAAATGATCTGATCATATTATTGACATTGTAACATTGTTGATTCCTTTGGTCGTGCAGGGAAAATTTTACAATTAGCGAAAATAAAAGTAAAACTCGCTTCTGAAGAGAATACTATAGAAATATCATGGAGACCAAACTTTGATTCCGAATGAGACAGTTTTAAATCAAGCTGTTGAAAATGTGAGCCCATCTGATTTGTACACTGACTGTGTAGTAATTTAACCAAGCGAGGAAGGGAAACGAAGGACGTTTACCGAGTTACTGTTCGGAAATAGATCTATATCTAGATCTAGATCTAGATCTAACCTAACTTTAAACGTGTATAAATAGCTAGTTTGTATACACGTCTTATTTTTATTTGTAGTAACCAGTACACAGTCGTTACTGTCAATAATGCGCCACAATTGACCATCGCCTACGCATATAACCCTTCACGAGTGTAAATGAGAACGACGAACCGTTCCTTTCGTCGTTTTCGCTTTCATCGCAGGACTAGCCAAGAGATATCTATACTTACTTGCTAACTCTTGAGGCGGGGCAACTAACCGAAGACGAAGAGTTCAGGAAACAGGATTCTTTCTTGGTCTGCCACAACTTAACATACACAGCGTGGCTTTCGTTCCAACAACATCCTATGCATCCTATAACTCTAAAAACAGCTTCTAATCTAGATCTAGATCTAGATTCTCGATCTAAAGTCTCATGACATAAGGCTAGCCTAGCAGCTGCAGGATCTCTTGCGAAAATCTTGCTTCAAAGTAAAGGGGTTGCCAGATGTATTTCCTGTGTGGGGCCAAACGACTAGTAATTTTGGAGCCAAATTAGATCTGTAGATAATTCCATTATTTCTGCAACTCTATATTTTGTCCAACAATTAAAGACAGCAAATGTATAGCGCAAATTTCCGCTCACTAACAAGGTCTGTACGCTTTACAATCTATTTCTTTACCCCAGCAGACCTGATAAAGCTTTCTGAAACAATTTCAACCCCCCCCCCCCCCGAAATCCGGAAGCATAAGCAGTGCAGGTTGCATTTTATAGGCAGTAAAAGACTAACCTACTGACAATTCAAGATATTTCGCTATCTTTGACCC